TGTGTGTGTGTGTGTGTGTGTGTGTGTGTATTTTTGAGACAGAATCTCACTTTGTCATCCTTAGTAGAGTGCCATGGAGTCATAGCTCACAGCAACCTCAAATTCCTGGGCTCAAGTGATCCTTTTGCCTCAACCTCCCAAGTAGCTGGGACTACAGGCACCCACCGCCATGCCTGGCTATTTTTTAGAGATGGGGTCTTGCTTTTGCTCAGGCTGTTCTCAAACTCCTGAGCTCAGGCAATCCACCTGCCTCAGCTTTGCAGAGAGCCAGGACTACAGGCGTGAGCCACTGCACCTGGCCTCTTTGTATATTTTGGATAACAGACCCTTATCAGATATGTCCTTTGGAAATACTTTCTTCAGAGAAAATATTTATGGTTTTCTGTTTGTATTCTCTTCAGAGTGTCATTTGCAGAGCAGAAATTTCTAACTTCAACGAAGTCTAGCTTATCATTGCTTTCTTTCATGGATTGAGCGTTTGGTGTTGGCATTGCATCTAAAAAGTTGTCGCCACACCCAAGGCCATCTAGATTTTCTACTATGTTGCTTTCTGGAGTTTAGCGTTTTACATTGAAGTTTGTGATCCATTTTGAGTCAAATTTACAAATCATTTTCATCTTTAATTTCCTGACAAAATTCATGAAAAGCAAAGGAAGTTGGATTAGTACATTAAAACATTTGAGGAAGTCTAAGTAGGCTTTCTCATTTATTAACTGAATGACCTTGAACAAATAACCTTTTTGAAGTCTTAGATTCTTCATTTCATAATGAGGATAATAGTAACTCTATGAAGTTGATATGAGAATTAAGTGAGAATTAGGAGCTTCTGGTTGTTGGATACAAGGAGGTGCTGAGAGGGTGGCAAGCCCAGCCAGGGCATGGAAGCTCTGCACGCCCTGTCCCCATACCTTGTCCTGTCCATCTCTTCATCTGGCTGTTCATCTATATCCTTTGTGATAAAGCAGTAAACCAATACTTAACACCACATCTGCTGTGCAGTAACAGCTGATCTTGGTGATTCTTGCTATTGTGAAGCTAGGGTAAAAGAGCATATAGATGTAACATGTAAAGAGAATTTTGAGATTTTTTTTCTTACTCCTCACAATTCTAAATTCTCTTTTTGGTAGGTGGCAGACTTTGTAGCAGCAACACTGCAGAGAGCATGTGCAAGCTTGGCCCATCAGGCAGAGAGCACTGTGGAATCCCAGACGCTGAGTATGTCCATGGGGCTGGTGGCCGTCATGCTAGGAGGAGCTGTCCAGGTGAGTTGTAGGCATGAGCCAAACCGGAATGGAGGGGAAGGAGAAGCAAAATACCCGTTTCTCTCTTGCATACATACCCGTGGGAGAAATAAGAATGAATATTGCACATAGAATAAATAAGTCAGTTTGTTAATAAGAATTCTCTCCAAAGTAGAGGACAAGAAAATTAATGCCATTTTCACTCTGTCAACTGAATAGACTTCACTGTCAGAAGGGCAGAGTTTGAGGTTGTACCTTTCCTACCTGGTATAAGCTTGATTTGGGAACATCTAGCATGGTATTTTGCATCTAAGGCAAATACTAAATTCTCTGGCCTGATTCTCCCCAGGTGCAGCCCTTGTTTCTACTACTGTAGACAGGGGGAAAGCCTTAGTAATCTGCTGGTTGCTCAAAATCCATTATTTTGAATAGCTCCATTGGAGCAGAGGATCCATTGTTCAGCCCTATCACAGAGCATGTTAAAATTTGCTTCCAAGATGGGCATGGTAGCTCACACATATAATCCTAGCATTCTGGGAGGTCAAAGCCAGTGGATTGCCTGAGTTCAGGAGTTCGAGACCAGTCTGAGTAAAGCAAGACCTAGTCTCTTCTAAAAATAGAAAAACTAGCCAGCTTTGTGTCAGGCACCTACAGTCCTAGTTACTCAGGAGGCTAAGCTAAGAGGATCACTTGAGCCCAAAAGTCTGAGATTGCTGTGAGCTATGATGCTATAGCACTTTATCCCAGGGTGACTAAGTGAGACTCTGTCTTTAAAAAAAAATTTTTTTTTAACTTCCAGCCATTTTTAAGCCTATATGTCTGTTACATATTTAATTTGTAATTTTAGAGTTTATTCCTTTAAACAGCATTTCTTATTTGCTTGTGTGCCAGATACTGAGCTAAGGCTCAGGGAATATAGCGGACAAAGCAGACACAGCCCCAACCCTTGTGAGTGTGAGACACTACATGTATTTAGAATTGGATGAAGTATCCAAAGAGAAGTTAAGGGTGCCAGGGGAACATAGCATTTAACCTAGGCTGGGAATGTCTCCACTGAGGGAGTGTAAGTTTAAGCTAAAACTTGAAGGATTAATAGGAATTTGAGTGTGTGTATAGTGAAGATGGATAAAAGTCTCTCAATTAAAGAAAATATGTTACAAAGTCTCAGTAGCATGAAAGTGCTTGAAATACTTGAGAAGCTGATACAGTAATACTACGTAGAATGCTGTTGTAGCTAAATTGTAGAGACCAAGGAGAAGAGTAGCACCATCAAGGGAAAAAGATGGGCAAGGGCCAGGTCATACACATGTGTGCTACTTGTTAGTTACATATATTAGGTTAGGAGACTGCAGCAGGGCAGAACAGACTTAGTGCAAGTATTATGAAATGCATCTTGAAAATCAGCATGCTTATAACTCAGCAATAAGTACGGAACCCTCCAGGAATGGATTTTTGAGTTTGAGGATTCAAATCTGATTCTAATTTTTTTTTTGAGACAGAATCTCAGTATATTGCCCTTGGTAGAGTGCCGTCACGTCACAGCTCACAGCAACCTCAAACTCTTGGGCTTAAGGGACTCTCCTACCTCAGCATCCCAAGTAGCTGAGACTACAGGCGCCTGCCACAACATCTAGCTATTTTCTGGTTGTAGTTGTCATTGTTGTTTGGAAGGCCCGGGCTGGATTTGAACCAGTCAGCTCTGGTATATGTGGCTGGCGCCCTAGCCACTGAGCCACAGGCACTGAGCCGGATTCTGATTTTTGATGTATGAAAATATACATCTCTCTAGCTCTCCTTAAGGGGAAAAGGAATTTTATCTGAGTCTGTTAATAGGGAGCCCATCTCTTGGTAGATTAATTTTATATTCCCCATGTAGTTTTCCTTTTTTTTTTTTTTTTTTTTGAGATGGATTCTCACTCTGTCACCCTGGGTAGAGTGCTATGGCATCATAGCTTACAGCATCCTCAAACTCTTGGGTTCAAGTGATCCTCTTGCCTCAGTCTCTTAAGTAGCTGAGACTACAGATGCCTACCACAGTGCCTGGCTAGTTTTTCTGTTTTCAGTAGAGTTGGGGTCTGGCTCTTACTCAGGCTGGTCTAAAACTCTTGAGCTCAAGCAATCCACCTGCCTCAGTCTCCCAGAGAGTTAGGATTATAGGTGTGAGCTGCTGTGCCCAGAACCTTAATACTTTAATATATTTGATACTTTCAAACAGTGGTTCTCAACCTTCCTAATGCCACGACCCTTTAATACAGTTCCTCATGTTGTGGTGACCCCCCCAACCATAAAATTATTTTCATTGCTACTTCATAACTGTAATTTTGCTACTGTTATGAATCGTAATGTAAATATCTGATATGCAGGATGGTCTTAGGCGACTCCTGTGAAAGGGTCATTCGATCCCCAAAGGGGTCGCAACCCATAGGTTGAGAACCAATGCTTTAAAAAGAAGTTTTTGGTTCAGTTCCTAGAGCCATATTATGTTTTTCTTTTCTTTTTTTTTAGAGATAGAGTCTCATTTTGTTACCCTCAGTAGAGTGCTGTGGCATCACAGCAACCTCCAGCTCTTGGGCTTAGGTGATTCTCTTGTCTCAGTCTCCTGAGTAGCTGGGACTACAGGTGTCCACCACAACGCCCAGCTATTTTTTGTTGCAGTTTGGCAGGGGCTGGGTTTGAACCCGCCACCCTTGGTATATGGGGCCAGCGCTGTACTCACTGAGCCACAGGCGCCACCCCTAGAGCCATATTATATCCCTAGTGATACAACTAGTAAGGAAGTGTTCACCCATGGATTATTTATTTATTTTTTAAGAGATGAAGTCTCACTGTGTTGCCCAAGCTGGTTTCAAACTCTTGTCCTCAAGAGATCCTCCCATCTTGGCTTCCCAGTTGAGATTACAGGCATGAGCCACTATGGGGGCCACCAGCAGAATAGTTTTTCTTAAGACATTTTGTTACGGGATTTAGTTGGCTAGATCAGTTTTTATTTTCTGGTTGAGTGTTAATTTGAATAGTCTTTGTTTCCATTAGTCAAGAGTGCATTTTTGTAAATGGCAGGATTCTCTTTATTTAACATGTATCATTTCAAACCAAATCCCCAATGGAAGATAGATTACAGAAACCTCCTTCTCCCTTTCTAGAAGCCCATTGTTGGGAGGCCAGCTGTGTATGTTAGTCATGTTCTAAGAAAGGTTTACTTGACTGATGTAAAAGTGGATCCCTTGCCTGTCCCTGCCTTTTTGTGAGCCATCCTGAGTCACTGATTACACCCTGGATTTCTCTGACTTTGCAGTTAGTGAACATAAACACGTCACCTTCTATACTTTTGCCCTAGATCTATTAATTTTTTTTTCTGTTTGATTCATGGATTTATTATAGGTGGCTTATATAACATAATGCTGGGCTTTTGTATCTTTGTATTAAAAAAGCAAGTCATGTTTCTGAATTTTTCCATTTGGTCATTGTCAGGTTAAAGTCTTTACTTTTTTTTTTTTTTTTTGAGACAGAGTCTCACTTTCTTGCCCCAGGTAGAATGCCGTGGGATCATAGCTCACAGCAACCTCAAACTCTTGGGTTCAAGCGATCCTCTTGCCTCATCCTCCCAAGTAGCTGGGACAACAGGCGCCCACCACCACATCCAGCTATTTTTTAGAGACAGGGTCTCACTCTTGCTCAGGCTGGTCTTGAACTCCTGAGCTCAAGCAATCCACCCTCATCAGCCTCCCAGAGTGCTAGGATTACAGGCGTGAGCCATTGAGCCCAGCCAAAGGTCTTTACTTTAGTCTAGAGAACTATATAATATACCTAAGCCCTATTCATTCCTAATGTTTTGGCTAATAAAACATAATCTAACAGCATCTGAACATTTTTTTCTTTTTTTTTCTAATTGTAATTAAAATGATTATTATAACATGGTGTCCGGGAACAAGAGTTAATTTGGAAAAAGTGTAGGCTTACGATGGCAAATAAGACAACTGTCATTACAAACTCGTTTTCTAAATTTCAGGGTTGGTCATCAATAAAAATATTATGTTAGTAACTTTTCCCTGCTCCTCAAGAAGCAATTTCTGCGTGACACTGCTGGGCCCACAGGGTTCTCTAAAGCACTGCTACACAAAGCTGAGCAGATCATTCCTTTAAAAACCAAAACCATTCTGTTCCAGGAAGACACCAGAGACTACCAGTTAAAAGCTGGTCTCTTAATCTTTAAATCTGCAGTCTGTTGGGATGGGGGTCCATTATTGGGAGACTAAAAGTACATCTTTTCTCTAAAGAGGTAAGGGTCTTTATCTTGGCATTACTCTACACTTGCTTAAGTTATGGTTTTGACCAAAGGCCATTGCTCAGACTCCTTGGTAAAAAACTTAGCCTAAGCATGGGACTATGTTTTAGGTATTGTTAACTTATCAGAATCCTAGCAGATGCTCAGAGACTAGGACAGAAGAGGTGGCAAGTGAGCTAGAGGTCTGCCACAGAATGGAGGAAAAGGGAGAGAGGGAAGAGCCATGGAAATCTTTTGCGTGCTGACAACTCATTTCCTATGTTGAATGCTGTCTTTTCTTTCCTGCACTGAGCTACAGGTGTGTGTTCTATAGAACAGCCTGGGGAAATTTTCATGTTGCAAGCTATTATATAGAACTTCAAAGAGCAGACAGTGATTCTTAATTACTGTTGCTTTCCAGCAATCTACTTCAGAGGTGTCTTACATATTTAATAAATGTACCACAGTAGGAATGAATAGTTTTTGGATTCATGGATAAATGGGAGGAAAAAAGAAGAAAGAATAAAAGGGAAAAAAGAAAGATGGATTTCTAACTAGGAAGGCATGGATTTTTTTAATAGTCTAGGCTTTAAAAGGTTTAGAAACACTCCTCTCACCCCTTGTGAGCAGCTTTCAGCTCTGGGTACACACACAGGAGTGTTGTGAATGTTAGTCATGTGTGGAGAAGGGAAGAGAAAAGCCACACTTTTTGTTTTCACAGGCATTTGCTTGCTTATCCCCTAGTTAATGCAGACTTTTC